TAGGGTTTAGGGTGTAGGGTTGTTATATGGGTTCTACAGGGTTCCCACAATCTTGTAAATTGCTTTTTAAGGCTTCAACAAGGTTCCATATAGTTTTTTCATGGAAATTGAACAAGGTTCCACAATTTGCTATATGGTTCGTACAAGGGTTCCATATAATTCTTGTGTAATTTCTACAAGGGTTCCATATATAGTTTTATGTGGCTTTTACAAAGGTTCCAAATAGTATTCAAGCGATTTCTACAAGGTTCCATATAGTTTTATTTGGCTTTTACAAGGGTTCCAGATAGTTTATTATTGGTTTCTACAAGGGTTCCATATAGTTTTAAACTGGTTTCTACAAGGGTTCCGTATAGTTTTTGTATATGGTTTATACAAGGGTTCCATATAGTTTTCAAGTGGTTTCTACAAGGGTTCCGCGTAGTTTTAAAGCCCACTCACAAAGGCACCCGAAGCCCTATTCCAGGTCGCTTAAGGGAAGTTTTTTTCCACGAAGCTCCAATTCAGAAAGCCCGTTTACGGTGAAGCACTGACCTAAACCCTCAAACATGAACGTCTAAGACTTAGTGGGAGGGTATCCGGTGGCCAGATCGCACCAGACGACCGCACTGAAGGAGGAGCTCCGCGAGAAGGCACCTTGGGAGCTTTTTGGCAGAGTTTCAATTTTCGACACAGTGTTTTGTTTTTACGGCGCACAGGGGTGTGTGTGTGTGTGTGCGTGGGCCTGTGTATACTGTCCTCGTTCATCAGCACAAGGGGTCACTCGCCTCATTTGCTCTTCGCAGGGGGGGCAGGGGGTGGTGGAGCTCCACCCAAGGAAGCTTTCCCCCATAACCCCACATCTCATTGCCGTCACCATCTTCATCATCATCATCATCATCACCATCATCATCATCATCGTCATCCTCATCATCATCATCATCAGCGCCTTATTCATCATCATCATCATCATCAGCATCATCATCACCATCACCATCACCATCACCATCATCATCATCAACAATATCATTAACATCATCATCATCATCATCATCATCATCAATAACATCATCGTTTCGATTCTGGCTGTTGCAGATCATCCCCGTCACCAATGGGTTAACTCGCAAGGGAGTGTTTGTGTGTTTGATAGAAAGTCGGATCAAGTGATAGACCCACTTCGTGTGCCTCAGTTCTTGCTTCTTTTGGTGAGTTCTCGGTTGGATATACTAACCGGGAAGCTAAACAACCCTAGTGTTTTTTGGCGGAAGGGGCGCCGCTTTTTCTTCCTGTACTTCTTCTTATCTGTCTTATCTTGATCGCATGGATTTCGACTCCGGAAAACTGTCGCTTGCAATATTCGCATCAATTTCGTTTCGTTACATAAGTTGCTTGCTACATAAAGTTTTAGATGCCGTCATCATTGCAGCCTCTGCCGTCATCTACATGACAACTGTGAAAAACAATCATCACCCCATCACCATCATCGCCTTCATCACCTTGATCACTTTCATCGTCGTCGTCACCATCATCACCATCACCACCGTCATTGCCAGTATCTCTTCTTTCGTTAACGGCACCGCTTGTCTCTTGTCTACCATCCACTGCACTGTTATACCTTCAGGCTATTTCTTCCTTCGTCTCTTCTTGCCGCAGCTGCCGCTGGATGCCACCACCACCGCTGCCGCCCCCACCTCCACAGTCGTCATTTCGTGATCCTCGATGGTATCATCACGAGAGTCATCGTCATCAGCATCATCGCTAGCATCTTGTCGTCCTGCGCTAGCATCTCTTTGCTTGTCGTCCTGCTCCTTTTCTTTATCCTCACCCGATCTTGCTTCGTAGTCTGGCTAGGACCAGGAATGGACTTTGAGCGGCCTCACACCCCCCGGAGATGCCAGGACAGCCGACTTGTCCGCGGCCACTTTGACCAGAAGGAGGCTTCTGATCCGCCGCAAGGGGTCGTTTAGGGCATCTAGGGTTTAGGGTTAAGGGCCCTTACTTGGAGGTTCATGGGTAGTTATAAGTAGGGTTATAAGTCCCCTAATATGGGTTATCACTATAGTTACCCTACTTATAACCCCACGTAGAACTACTCATGAACCTCCAACTAAGGCTTCAGGAAGTATCGTATCGGGTTTGGGGTTTCGAGCTGGGGGTCTCCTTCCCGGAAGGCGGCGTCGCTATAAACCGGGCTGCAGACTCAAGCCCGAAGCCCTGAAGTCTGAAACCCGAAGCCGCAAATCCGAAACCGTAACCCTAAACCCTAAACCCTAAACCGTAAAGTCCGCTCCAATACACTTAATAAAAAACCCTAAACTCTAATCCTTAAGCTCTAGGCCCGAAGGCTTGAATCCTTGCTGGGTTCCAGGTCTGGGGAGTTTTGCGCGGCTTGGGGCGTCGAAGTGCATGAGCTTTGCCTTAGAAGAGCGTGAAAGAACATAGCAGCGTTTCGTGAGGGGGTGTTCCTTTAAGATACAGTTTTTATAATCGGGCTTTTCGGTGGATCTTAGAATTAAAACCCTAAACCCCAAACCCTAAACCCTAAACCCCCAAACCCTAGGAGCTTCAACGGGGTTTTAGGCTTGTAGCTTCGGCTCCGGGGTTTAAAGGGGTGTATTTAGGGCTCCGCAGAGGATGTGACAGTAGCATCAGCCAGCGCAAAAGCGGATTTATGCTTCTAAGCGTCTTTCTTCGGGGATAGCAGATAGAGAGCTTCGCTTGCAGCTTGCGCATCACGGGATGTGGCCTTTCGGTTCTTGTTGTACCAAGGCTTGGGGCTAGAGTCGGCTAGGGTATAGGGTTTAGGGTTTAGGGTTTCGGGTTTAGGGATTAGAGTCTATGTGGAGCTCAGACTGTCTGATTGTGGCATGGGAGCTTTCTTTTTAGGGAAGTGTGGTGCTGAGGCTTGCCGTAAAGCCCCATGGCTCAGCAACTAGTAACTAGATCCATGCTTTCACACTCTGCAACACACACCTTAGTAAGGGAAGCTCATTGCCCCCTGAGCCCGACAAGCGGGGTATGCAAGTGCGCAGCCAGTAAGTTTTGGGGCTTCGGGTCTCTGGTAAAGGGCCTTTGCTTTGCGGGGCTCGGCATTGGGGGCAGGAGTCAGGGTTCAGGGTTTGGGTCCTGAGCCAAGCCCAAACCCTCAACCTTAAACCCTTAGTAAACCTTAAACCAAAGCCTATGATCCCGAGCCGTGGACAGTTGGTGAAGAACAACGAGAAGCTGACAGACGCAAAGGAGCGGGCACAGCGAAGGCCTTCGTTGACGGGGCCGTCGGGGTTTATTATAGGGTTCGTTGTAGGGCTTATAGAGACTTGCTGGGTTTTAGGATTCATTGTAGGGCTTATAGAAGCTTGCAGGGTGTTATGAGGTCTTACCAGGTTTTAGGGTGCTTATCGTATTTTACCTAGGGATTCGTAAGGTTTGGTGGGCTGTAGCCAGGGATTTTCCAGCTACCCACAATAGCTGTATCGCATCTTCAAGCATCCTTCTATGTAGGGTTTTTATCAAGTTCCCTGTTCAAACCCTAAACCCTAAACCCTCTAGCACCGAAGCCGGAAGCTTATTTAGGGTTGGGAGTCCGGCATATTTGTTTTGGCTATTCTGCAGTATGCCCTGGTCCCTAAATCTTTTTCGCCTTTAAGTCCTGACAGACAGCCGGGAATTCTCAGAAGACGGCCCCTTGGAGTGGGTAGTGGATTCTTGCGTTGAACCCGGTAGAGTCAGCGTTTAGGCTTCAGGGCTAGGCAAAGGTTTTGGGTTTCTGAAATGTGAGGTCGCACTGAGTATTATCAAAGTCTCATTCTGAGTATTGTGCAACGCCCCAAACTCCCAAACATTAATATAGGGCCCAAATAATTACCAATATTTTATATAGTATACTGGGCCCCAAACTTTGGTTGGCTTTACCCCAGTAAAGTTTGGGTCTTTCTGTTCCTTCTCCTAACAGGACGGCTAGCACGTAAACTTTCAGGAGGGGTTCAGAAGTACGCAAGTCCCGGGATCCACGGCGCAGAACAATTTGGTTCGCAGTGCCCCCAGAAAGTGAGAGCGAATCCAGCACGTGACCACTTGGGCTCCCGTGCATCCCTTTCCTGGTCCGTATTACTCACTTGGCGTTTCGCCATGTGCTGTCACCGCGAAAGCCTCCAACCCACACCATCCAGTGTATCAAAGCGTCCAGCCCCGACATCTGAATGTAATATAGAAGCCTAAATAATTACCAATATTGCTTTCAGGGTTCCTTATTATAATGATAGTATAGAGGAGCCCAAAACCCTGTTCTAATTCTTAAGACCCCGACCTTATCCCAGAGGGCCCTATGCTCCTTGCTAAGCGAATATGCCTTATAACCCATAATAGGAACCCAGAGAGCCCAATACCCCTTAATTAAGGAATATACCTTAAATTATAGGGGCCTTACTGTTGTGGTCTAAGGTATATTCCTTAATTAAGGAGTATTGGGCTCTCTAGGAAGCCCTTTAATTTAGGGGTGTTGGGCTTGCTGGAAAATCCGAGCTCAAAAGCCGGCAGCCCTGAACCCTCAACTGACACCCCATGAAAAGCAAAAGCCACCCTAAGTTAGCGGTTCAGGGTTTAGGGTTTAGGGTTCAGGGTTTTTAGGGTTTAGGGTTTAAGGTTTAGGGTTTAGACCCTAAGCCATGAGCCCCACACCTTAGACCCTAAACCCGAAACCCTAAACCCAAGCCCTAAAATCCTTAAACCCTAAACCCCAAACCCGAAAACCCAAAGCCCAAACCCCTAGAAACCTGAGCCCCAAGCCGTACACAAGAAGCCCACAAGAGGAGCCGGAATAGTTACTAATGCAAATTTGGGGGTTCCTTATTATAAATATATTACAAAAGGAGCCCAGAACCCTGTTCTAATTCTTAAGGCCCCTGCACCCTAAAGCCCTCATAGTAGATCCCTTGTAGAGCCCTTTAAGGAAGCCTTTAGGAGCCCCCCAAGACCCTATTCTAATTATTAAGGACCCTTCACTAAAGCCCTATAGTAACCGTTACAATAACCCTTATAGCAACCCTTTAAAGG